TATGTAAAATGGATTAAACAAAAATGGAAAGTTGAAGTTAGTGAATCAACAATTACTAGACTTCTTCAAACAAAAGACAAAAGACTTTCTGTTGAACTTACAAATCCACAAGCAAAAAGATATAGATCAATTACTATTCCAAAACTTGAACTTGCTCTTAAGGAATTTATATTAGTTTATCAAGATAAAATAATATTAAGTGATGCTTTAATTATTGAAAAAGCAAAATTATTGGCAAATAAATTAGATGTTTCTAAAGATATACTAAAGTTTTCTAATGGATGATTACATAAATTAAAGGAGTGCAATGAAATTCATCAACAAAAACTTTATGGCGAAGCTGTATCTGTTGATCAAAATATTATAATAAAAACTTTACCATTGTTACAAAACAAATGTAGTAATTATTCTCTCAATTGAATTTACAATATGAACGAAACTGGTCTTTTTTATAGATAAATATATGCATACAATTTTTTTTTATACAGTAGTTTATTTATTTATTTAATGCTATTACAGATTGGAACCAGATCGAATATTAACATCTTGACATCTTGCAGGATTTAGAAAAAATAAGGAACGCTTGTCTATTACATTGTATACAAATGCTGATTGATCATACAAATTAAATTCTTTTATTATCGGAAAATTTGCCAATCCCCGTTGCTTTAAAAATGTAAAGATTCAAAACTTACCAATTAAATACTGAAGCAATTCTAAGGCATGGATGCTTGCCATTAATTTTTAAGAGTGGCTTCGAGAGTTTAATTATCAAGTAATGCAAAAACACAAAGGTTAACGTGTACTTTTATTACTTGATAATTGTTCAAGTCACAAGATTGAAGGTGTAAAACTTGATTATGTTAATATTTATTTTCTTCCTCCTAATACCACCTCAAGAATTCAGCTGATGGATGCTGGGATAATTATAGCTTTTAAAAGACATTATCAGCGTTTTAATCTTCAGTAAGTTATATTTTATCATTTATTACATATAATCGTTATATATATTTTTATTTATTAATTTTCTTTCCCCATTACACTTATTACCTATTCCCCTACTCTTTATCTATTATTTTTACTTTTATTTATTCACACATTTTACTATTCTTTATTTATTTATTTTTTATTTATATATTTGTCTATCCCTATATTTGTTTATTTTCCTTTAATTTCTTCGTTTATTTCTCTCACTTTTAAATTTACCATTCATTTTTTCCTCCTTATACATTCCTATTTTACCTTCTCCATCACCTCCCTTACTATTCTCGCCATTCGCCTTCCTTACCATTTGCTTCCCTTGCTATCCATCTTTCTTACTTATTTCCTGTTATTTATCTATTTTTTTTCCTTTTTTTGTTCACCTCCCTCACTATTATCTTGCCATTTGCCTTCCTTCCTTGTTATTTGCTTTTCTTGTCATTCGTTTTCTTTTTTCTTTGCCTTCCTTCTTCACCATTTGCTTTTTTTGCCATTCATTTTGTCTTCCTTGCTTCTTCTTTTCTTGTTGGCCTTTCTCACCATTCTCTTGCCATTTTTCTTCCTTCCTTGTCATTTATTTCTCTTGTTGTTCATTCGCTTTATTTCTTTGTTTGCCTTTTTTCCGTTCGTTTTCTTTTTTCTTTATTCGTCTCACTATTTTATTACCATTCGCTTTTCTTGCTATTCATTTTGTCTTTCTTGCTTCTTTCTTTGTTGGCCTTCCTCACCATTCTCTTGCTATTTTCTTTCCTTCCTTGTCATTTGTTTCTCCCATTGTTCGTTCACTTTCTTATTTCTTTGTTCACTTCTTTTTCTTATCATTTGCCTTCCTTGCCATTTGTTTTCTTTTTTCTTTGTTCGCCTCCTTATTATTCTCTTACCATTTGCCTTCCTTGCTATTCGTTTTGTCTTTCTTGCTTCTTCTTCTATTATTTGTTCATTCTATTCTTTTTTCCTTGTTGATCTCCCTCCCTCACCATTTGCTTTTCTTGCCATTCATTTTGTTTTCTTGCTTCTTCTTTTCATGTTGACCTCCCTCACCATTTTTTTGCCATTTTCTTTTTTTCCTTGCCATTTGCTTCTTCTGTTGTTTGTTTGCTTTATTTCTTTGTTTGCCTCCCTTGTCATTCATTTTCTTTTTTCTTTGTTCGCCTCCTTATTATTTTCTTACCATTCACCTTCTTTTTTTACTATTTGCCTTCTTTTTTCATTATTTGCCTTTCTTTTTTACCATTTACTTTCCTTGTTCATTTTGTCTTCTTTTCTTTTTCCATTATTCATTCATTCTATTCTTCTTTCCTTGTTGGTTTCCCTCACCATTCGCTTTTCTTGCTATTCGTCTTGTTTTCCTTGTTGATCTTCCTTACCATTCGCTTTTCTTGTCATTCATCTTGTTTTCTTTATTGATCATCCTTACTATTCTCTTGTTGTTTTCCTTTTTTCTTTACCTTTCACCTTCTCTGCCATTTGCCTCCTTCACTCTTTATCTATTCAATTAAATGGATATTGGAATAAGTCGAAGCAGGACAGTTTATACAAAACTTAAAGATAAGTATACTTCAAGCGATTCAATTTATTATTGAAAGTTGGAACGAAATTATCATCAAAACAATTTATAATTGCTGGCGTCATACAAAGATCCTTTCCATTAATGAAAATAATAATGATGTTAATAATTATGACGATAATAACAATGACTATGACGATAACAATAATGAGCTTAATGAACTTATTGAGATAATTAATACTCTCTGTCTTCCTCAAACAATGAAAATCGATAAATTTTTAACCATTCCTGATGAAAATATTATCTATGAAATTTCTGACAATAATAAAGTTATTACAAAACTTGCAAATGTATTTAGAGAGGAAAAAATGAAAATTTGAATGAAATGGATAATAGTGTTGAAACAACTGTTATTAGTTCTAATACTTTATTAAAAAATTTAGAAAATATTTGTATATTTTACTTCAACAAAAAGGGGCAGAAAAAGAATTAAAATTAGTAATAGTCTTGAAAAATTTGTTAAAAAAAAAAAATTAGTTTAATGTAACAGACTCACGTAAATGAGTATTTTAATTAGGAATATTTGTATATATCGATATATATAAAATATAATAAAATATAATTTTTTTTTTGCACCTCTTTAAATGCACACTCTCTTTAAATGCATGCTTATGGTTGATCTCAAGGGGTGTGTATTTAGGGAGGGTTCTCTATATATATTTAAATTAAAACTTTTGTTATTACCTTAATTTAATTAATAAGATATTTATAAAAAAGAATTTGTTTATTATAATATATAATAATTTAATAACTTGTTATATTTGAAAACTTAGTTTGAAATTGTTATTTGAATAAAGAATTTAATTAATAAAATTTATAATTTGATTAAATTTTTTTAAAGTTTCAAAGTATTTAAAAATATATTAAATATCTTTAGTATAAAACTTATATCTTGAATAATATATATAAAACTAATAAAAAATTTGACAAATAAAAAAATTCTTAATAGTAATTTAATTTTAAATATTATTAGATACTGTATTTGTTATTATATAATTTTTTAATATTTTTATTAAATTAATTAATAATTTTAAAATTATATAGAATATATAGATACTTAAAAATTTTAAGAATTAAAAACTTTTATAAATTATATAAGTTTAATAAAATTAAGAATCTTTTTGTATTTTTTAATACAATATTCCATATTTGAAAAAGTTATAAATAAGATATTATTTATCATTAATAAAAAAAACTTTATTAAATTAGAGAAAAACCAAATAACTCTATTATTTTTCAAAAGAAAAAGACCTTTTTTATATAAATAATTTTTTAAATATCTCTTTTTAATTATAATTTAATTATATTATTTTAATATATTTAAAAAACTTTTTTATATGGGTAATTCTTTTCGAAGGCGGACAGGGATTTTTCGGTCGCTATAATTGTGATCCGAAAATTTACATTGTGTATGTATTGTTTAAAAGTAGGGACCGAAAAAATCATATCTAGCATTTTTGCTGCCTTCAAAAATAATTACCCATATATTTCTATTCTTTATATCTCCAAATAAATACATGTCTAATTAATAAAAATATGATTTTTGATTTTTTCCAATTATTTTTGTCCCACACTGTATATCTTTTCTTTATTATACAATAATATAAATTTATTACATTATTTGTTTATCCATAACAGGAAAGATATGTATTTTTAATGTATTTAATATTTTGAACGAATAAATTGAATTAGTTTAGTAAGAGAATAAAAAGGATAAAAGTAACAATCTTTAACGCGATATTCGTAATCTACTAACACTAATAGGCATAACGTGTCCGCAATTTTTTCAAGTATGTATCAATGATGAAACCACACAGCCATATAAACTTTTCTGTTTTTTTTTTTTTTATATAATGGAATCGCCATCACTGTGTAACGATCGTTTATCGAGAGTTGTATATATCCGGGCCGACAGGATAAAATCTATATCCATCTGATAGACGTATTTATAATACACGCATTTTTTTTTTTGTTAATAGAAATCCTATATTATTATATGCGTAAAATGGGTAAAGGAAGTCGTTCAAAACGTTCCTCTAACACTCCTGATATTTTAAGTATTGATCCTTCTGATACAAATGATGGACGAATTAATGAAAAAAAACAGCGATATGTTTCAAGGCGAAGGGACGACGACCCTGGATGGGTAGAGGAAGAACCACCATACTATTTTCTTTTCACAACTTATCTTTCATATCTAGTTTTAATTTGCTTTGGTCACCTACGAGATTTCTTTGGTAAGAGATTTAGAAGCAAAAATTATCAGCACCTAAAGGAACAAAATGTAACTTTTTTATAATTCTAATGGTCAATTGATATTACGGGTTTAAAATTCAGACAATTGTTTTAACTTTTCGTCAAATATAGGGCTATGCTCCTCTCAACTCGGATTTTGATAATTTTTACGTTCGTCGCCTCAAACTTCGAATCAACGATTGTTTTAATCGTCCAGTCACTGGTGTACCGGGAAGAAAGATTACACTTCTTGAGCGCGAAACAAAAGATTATTGCAAGACATTCCAATTAACCGGGAACACCAGAGAATGTTTGAACTTGAGTAGTTACAATTATCTAGGATTTGCTCAAGCCGACGGGCCTTGTGCCGACGCAGTTGAACAAACCGTGAGAAAATATGGAATCAGCACGTGTAGTCCTCGAGCCGAAGTTGGTGAGATTTTTTCTTTCTTTTAGGAAACAAAATTAGTTGATACCGAAGTGCGTTGTTGAATCTTTTTATTTACGACATAGGCTCATCGGATCTTCATCAGAAGGTGGAATCCCTTGTGGCACGATTTGTTGGAAAACAAGCAGCAATGATTATTTCCATGGGCTACGCCACAAACAGTACAACTCTTCCCGCGCTCGTGTCAAAAGGATGCCTCATAATTTCCGATGAATTAAATCATAGTTCAATTGTCTTCGGTAGTCGTCTGTCAGGAGCTTTCATCCGAGTTTTTAAACATAACAATATGGATGATCTAGAAAATCTGTTAAAAGAATGTATTAGTCAGGGTCAACCACGTACGCACCGTCCATGGAAGAAAATCCTGTTAATCGTAGAGGGCATTTATTCCATGGAAGGTAGTATTTGTAATTTACCAAAAATTCTGGAATTGAAAAGGAAATATAAGGTGAATATCTATTCAGTTATTATACACGTCAGAGATCACGTCATCAACTCCAAAAGGTCACGACTAACGATCTTCGACATGCATACTCCAACTAAAGAAATTACAATATACTTATTACATATTGGTTGAATTTGACAGTTTTACCTATACGTCGATGAAGCCCATAGTATTGGTGCACTGGGACCACGTGGTCGCGGGGTTTGTGATTATTTTGGTGTTAATCCTAATGAAGTTGACATATTGATGGGAACATTCACCAAGTCCTTTGGCGCAGCCGGTGGTTATATCGCTGCTAACCAAGATATAATCGATAATTTACGGGTTACAAATCACGCTTCAATATATGCTGAATCGATGACTCCCCTAGTCCTTCAGCAAATATATACTTCAATGTCAATCATAATGGGTGAAGACGGGACAAATGAAGGTCAAGAACGTTTAGAGCGTTTGGCTTTCAATGCTCGTTATCTCAGTGTAAATCTAAGGCGGTTGGGATTTATTATTTATGGTGATCGTGACTCTCCAATTATTCCTCTATTGTTGTTTAATCCGGCAAAAATCCCGTACGTATTTTTTTTTTACGATCTATTATAATTCAATATTTTCTTTGTTAATTTTTACTCATAATTTCTATTATTTATTCCAGTGCCTTTTCCAGAGAATGCTTGAAACGAAACATAGCCGTAGTGGTTGTTGCATATCCGGCCACACCAATGATTTCTTCGCGTGCTAGATTTTGTATATCCGCCGCACATACAAGGCAGGACTTGGATGAAATACTAAAAGCATGTAACGAGATTGGAGAAATTTTGCAGCTCAAAATTTCAAATAACCCCCAAAAATTAGGTATTGAAGAGGTATTAAGAGTCGGTGAGCAGGGTCTGTAAAAATTTATTTATTGGGACGTGGGCTAAAAAAAATCTAGAAATTACTACTAAAACTTTACATATAATTTAAATCAGTAATAATTAAAAAAAACTGAGCAAATATATTAAATAAATATTTAACCATTAAATTAGTTTAATATAATGGACGAATGAGTTATTAAAACACCGGTTAGTTCGAACAGCATGTATCCAAGTACTATCAAAAACTATAAAATTATAGTATATAGAATTGTAAGGTTAATATGAAGCAATTAATTACTTATATAATAATAATAATGATTTGTAAAAAAATATTATCATTTCTTTATTATAAAAAACTGTATTCAAAATAAATGTGATTGAATTTTAATATATAGCGAACTTGTACCTAATTTCAGGGACTTATTATCAACCCATTTTATATAATAAGAGATTGATTGATTAAATAAATAAATATATATATTGTGCTTGGTAAAGCATTCCCTAATTTTCTATTACGAAATATAACAAATTGGTTGTATTATTAATACGTACGTAATATCAAAGTTAAAAAAATAGATTATTATTATTATTTTATTTATTCATCTTTATTTTATTTTTATTTATATACAGTAATTATTTTTTTTATTTCAACATTAAATAATTATTTATTAAATTATTTTTATGAATCTTTATAAATATTATGTATTCAGATAATTATCTTATATAAGATAACTTAAATTATTTGTAAATTTAATACTGTTTAATAGCTGTATATATATCTTATATTTTTTAAAAAAGAAAGAAAAAAGCTTATGTTGATAAATAAAAACTCTTCTAAATTAATCTTTAATTTGATCATCTGTAGTTAAGAAAATTATTTAATTTTCATTATTTTATTATTAATTAAAAATAAAGATATACTTATAACAAAATTTATTACTTTTATAGTCTTTATATAGTAATTTTATATTCTATTATTATGTAGCCTTATTGTCTATATATCTTTTTAAAATAATTAACAATAAAAGAAACTTTTTACTAAATTGAAATAAAATTTTTTTTTAGTTTTTGAAAGAAAAAAAAACATTAAATTATTTTTAACAAAACAAATCTTATTTTTTTACTATTATAAAATTTTAATTACTTTTATTAGTTAAACCAATAAGTCAAGTTTTTATTACAAAAAAAAATTAAATAAATACTATAATTAAATAATTAAAAAAAACTTAACTAAAGGTTTTAAAATTCAAGTCTTTAAATATAAATATAAATAAATAATTAATTATAATAATATATAATATACAGTAGTATACAAAAAAAACCAGAATTTTTTTTAACACATATTTTTATTAATAAATTAATATAAAATTATTTAAATGT